TGCACACGACGCCGAAGCCCAGCAGCTGCGCACCACCCGCGCCGAAACGGGTGGCAAACAGCGCCCTCGCGTCGACGCGAGCGCACCCCCCGTGGACGGCGGAGGTGGACGCGCGTTTGACGGACCAGAGAGGTAGAGCTTGGATCCAAGTGGACGACGGCAGGGGCCATTTCGGCGACTTCGTGGAGCGCGGCGCTCCGCTGCTGCGCGCGCGCCCTGACTGGCGAGCACCGGATCGGAGTCCGCATCGGCGAGTCCCTGCGGATCCAGTGTTTGCCCTGGTCACGGCCGTAGTGACGGCCAGGGCTGCAGTGGAAGACGTCGAAGAACTGCTCGAGAGCCCAGCCAACATCCTCGTGCCGATCTGGGGCCCGCTGCTCCTGGACCACCCGCAGAAGAGCGACGCGGAAGCGGCGGAAGTGTCGCGCAGGCGCGCAGCACTGACAGTACAATTGGAGCTTGCAGTGGTGGAGGTGGTATCGACCAAAACAAGGCGAGCAGGCGACAAGTACTGGGAGCTGGTAGACCTCAAAGAGGGGACAGGCGTCGTGCTCTACCAACTCCGCGTCGTCGAGACGTTGGAGGTTGCGCAGCAGGACGACGCGCGCGCCATGACAATCATCGACGTCGCGCTGCGCGAATCCAGCCAAAACGCTGGCGCACAGTTCAGAGTGGCCGTGCCCGCCCGCTGGAGGTTCGCCCGTCGCCGTAGTGACGGCCACCGCCACGGCCTTCATTCCACGTGGTCCGACGCGTTCTGCGCCGACATTATCGAGGACCTGCTGCGCTACAGTGTGCGCATTTTCGCGGGGTTCTTCGACTGCGACCACCGCGCCTTGCATCGCATAGGCTGCAGTTGCGGCCTCGCCGCGGGGGGCAAGCCCTTCCACGCCGTCTTCCGCGCAAATTGGGGGCCTGGCGTGTTTGACCAACCATCCACCGCAATTTTGCAATCGTGCTCGGCACGCACGACCCGCAGCGCCCTGTCTACGGAGAGGAAGAAGGGCAGGTGGCGGTGGTGGTGCCAGAGTGGCTCCAGCCTGTCGCCTCGGGGGCCCCGATCGAGTTCGGAAGCAGTTGGCTCGAGCGTTTCAGTTGCAGCTCCCTGCCGCAGTGGGGCGACGTGCCGATGGTGAGTACGCAGTGGCGTACTGTTTACACCGAGGCGCTCGAACAGCTCGAAGAGGGTGCACATCCAGAGGATCCAGCCGAGGCACACCGCGTCGCACGGTTGACGGAGAGAAGGCAGAACTTCTTCCAGAACGCGCACGACGACTTGTGCCCGCTTCCGAACCTGGGGAAGGTGGCCTCCAAGCGGCTCAGGGACGACACCCACGTCTCGCACTGGCTCCACGGCATTCACGAGAACATGGTCTTGATAGGTCGCGGCCGCCAGGGGCGTGGGTCGAGGCAGACTGCGAGCGAGCAGTGGCGCAACTGGAGGAGGGCGCATCAGCAGAAGAAGAGCCGCAGTGGCGGCTGGCGCCAACGGGCGGGCTCGCGCCAGAGCGCTTAGAGTGGCGCGACTCGGCTGGGAAACAAAGCATCTCCTGTCGTCGCCGTTGTCACTGTCATCACTGCCCGAAAGGTATCTGGTAGACTAATTAATGGTGATATATGATCACATGCTTCCGTAGTTACACCGTATACGATGATAATTATGTGCATGTTTTGACGACCATTACATAATTATGTGTAGTCACACATATATATATGTGTATATATATTTGTGTATATATTTATTTGTATGTACATATATATATATATATATATATATATATATATATGTACGAGGTCGCATACAAAGGGGCAGACCTGTCATACTTATTGCCATCGTGTACGCACATACTTACCAATATAATGAATACGTCGTTTCATCTGTGAAATTGTGGGCAGGCAGCCGTTGCCAGTTCAGCGGCGCCGCCGCGCCGCCGCGCGCCCGCGCTCAGCGGCCAGGCGGCCGCCTCCTAGGGGGGCCCGTAGCGGCGGACCGCAGCCGAAGCTGCCTGCTGGCAAAGACACATGGGCAGCGTGCCCGACGACAGCATGTGCATCTACTGCCACCGCGAGCATGCTGTCCCATTCCGCATTCCTGACGCGACGCTGGAATGTGGAACGGGCCCCATTTGCGATACATGCTGCCGCGAGGCCTCGATCTACGGCGCAGATTACATCGACCGCAAGCGCCTGGCTCGTTTCCTGGCGGCCATGCGCGTCGCGGGCCGTGCCGGAGATTTCCACGACATCTTCCTTGTGGACGGGGCCGAGTTGGGCGAGCTGCTCGCGAGGTGGTTGGTCGCCACCACAGCTTCAACGAGATGGTTGGTCTGGAATGTCCGCAGTGGCGGGCGCCAAGTTCCGCTTAGTCCCGTCACCGAGGACGAAGCCGCAGTTGCGGCTCCAGAGTTCGACGATGTACGAGACTGGGAGGAGTCCTACATGGCAAGCGTAATCGAGGCCGCGGAATCGGAGCGGGAAGCCGCATCGCTGGGGCACGGGTTCGTCGATGATGGGCGCTGGGCGCAGTGGTGGGGGGGCACGCGCGACCGTGAGGCCTTCCATGCCAGCCGAGATGGGCGAACGCCTTACTGGTCGCACGACGGCTTGCCGCCTGAGTCGTACGCGCGCGCCTTGCGCGAGATGCGCTCGCCTATCGGTCGCACGGAGATGCTCCGTGCGACAGGTGTACTGATGTATGCAAGGCAGCGCGCGCTCGATGCCGAGCGACGACTGCAAGAAGCTCAGGTTGCGTGGCACAATGCGGTGGACATCGAGTTCATGCACATTGCCTGCGTGAGGACGCCAGCGGCGCAGGGTCGCATGGCCGTAAGGGGCGGCGCCATGACTGCCGCAGGGGTTGCGGAATGGGGGGCGTATGAGTTTCATACGTATGAGGCTGCAAGGAGCATCTTAGCCACCATGGCGAACGATCCTCAGAATCCAGCCTCCCGCTCCTACGAAAGACGGCTGAGCTTATGGTCGGGGTGCCACCAGGCGCTCCAAGACGGCGAGGACGTGGGCGTCGACGCGCAGGGCATTCCAAGACCTCGCCACGACGACGTGGACTTCGCCGTCAGCGACTGGTCGTCGGAGGAGCTAGAGGAGGAGGGAGTATTCCAGGAGATGCCTGCGCGCCCATAACCAGGACGCCTATACGATAGAACCGCCGCCAGGGATACTTTGAGGACGCCGACCAGGGAGCAACAGGCCGCAGTGGCGGCCGTACTGGCACCGACGCGGCTGTAGGAGACCGACGCGGCTGTAGGAGACCGACCGGCGCAGCTTTCGCAGCAGCGGGGCGCATGCGCGGGCCGCCGCCGAGCAGGTCTGCGAAAATGCTCCCAGAGTCCATCTTCCTGGCCATGTGCTCCTCGACGCCCTCTTCAAACGTCTGAATCCAGCGCTCCACAGTTGCGTGGGCGTCAACGCCGACCTCGTCCTTGAGCGTGCCAAGGCTGTAGTCGAAGCACCACATCACGAAGGCGTCGAGCTTGTTCATCCATAGGCTCGTGGGCGTGCCCGCCAAAATGGTGCCCTTCACCGCCGACACCTCGTCGCCGTTGCAAGTGTCGCATCTGCAGTCGTAGCGAGGCCTGCGCCAGTAAAAGCGTACGGCATCGCCGCGGCGATGCTTCACGCTCAGCGTGTACTCGTCGCTGCAGTCTGTGCAGAAGTGCGTTTTGCCAACCATGCCGAAGTGCTGGCAGAACAGGTATGCGCGAGCCGCCTCGTCCTCCAAGTAGCTCCCAGGATCCAGGATTTCCGCGTGCGAGACGGCGTACTGGAAAGAGTCCCTGTTCGTCACGCCCAGGTCCTTCAGCGCACCCAGATAGGCCGCCGCGTCTGCGTATCACGCCATGCCATGGGATGCGGAGGGGCGCCGAGAGGCCAACGGAGGTCCCGATCTACCTGCGAGCCGAACGCTGCGGCGCCAATCGAACTGTCGAAACGGGGCAGGGAGGACAAGGCGAGCTTGGGGCGAGCGGGGGGGGGGGGGACGACGACGACGACGCCGACGGCGAGGACGGCTCTTGAGTCATCGCAGTCGGTCAGAATAACAACTCAGGGTGCTATCATCATGGTGCTCATACTCATATGGGAGCCCGCGAAGCGCGCTGGGGGCCCATCAGAGGCTCGGCGGCCGCCGCCTCGGCTGCCTAAGCTCACCGCTCACCCAACAGCTCAACTCGTCACCCCGCGCGCCCAGCGCTTCACTTCGTAATGCCTCCCTCCGTCGCCTGCGCGTAGGTCTCTTGCGCCCGCTGGCGGTCGAGCTCGTCCTCGTAGTCGAGGTGGGCCTCCAGCGCTGCATCCAAGTCCATGTCGGACTCACCCCCCTCCGCGGCGCGGCTCTGGCGAGGTTGCGTCGTGAGGTCTATCTTCGCGCCGTCGTCGCTCTGGTTCTTCTGGAGAAAATCCCGCTGCAGCGCCTCGTAGATGACCCGCTGCTCGTCGACGTCCACCTGGGCAAGGTCGCCGCCGCAGCCCGTTGCCAAGCGCTTGCGGGGGGGGGGGGGGGGGGGGGGGACATCAAGTCCACCAGCTCCCCGTCGGCGCTCGCGCTCCTCTGCCAGAAGTCCTGCTGAAGTGCCGCGTATATCGCCTTCTGCTCGTCGCTGTCGACGTCGTCGAGCAGGCCCGCGCACCCCCTGCCAGCGACGGCAACTGCAGCTGGGGGCGCGCCTGAGGAAGATGCAACGGCGCTCATCAAGTGAGCGCCCCACTCATCGTAACCCCTGGCTCTCGGGGGCGGCTCAGGCGCTGCGGGGAACACTGGCGCGACGCTGACAGTCGGCACGAGCGGCGCATCTTGGGGCGAAAAAGCGCAACGACACCATCCCACCTACGGCGCAAGGAGCCGCAGCAGAGACCTGGCAACCTGGCCCGGCTTCTCCCCTGGTATACGCCAAGGCACCCCATGGAACGAAACCGAGAATAGCGCGCCGTAGGCGGGGTGGTGTCGTGTGTTTTTGTCGTCGGGCCTTCGTTCAGCAGGAGACGCTTCAAGTAGTTCATCGACCACTTGACGTCGTCTTCGAAGTACGCAGGGTAGACAGGCTTAGTGGGGTCCTGCTTGCATGCGCCGAAGGCCTCCTTGCAGCGCTCGTTGAAAAAGGTCGGGCTCGTCGGGGGGTTGGTGTAGGTCCACCAGGGCTCTCGGCCCCGTCCGTCGCTGGCGTGGCGGAAGTACACGCGCTTGTCAGTGACCAAAACAAAATGAGTGCGAGCACCGATGGCCAGCAAGTCCTCGTCTTCCTTTACCTGGCAGAACGAGGGCCTGATCAACTTCATGAAGTCGTCAGAGCTCACGTCCTTCGACGTGCCCTCCGCCCACTTGGACACGAGCTCCGTCTCGAAGTCTTTGTCGTAAGCATTATTGCAGACCTGGCGGGAGGACCCAGTGTCACATTCCGACGACCCCCACCTGGCCCAGGGCGTCGCGTCCTCCTCGCTCGGATTCAAAAACGCCTTGGAGGATGAACGCCGACTGCTCCGATAACTCGCCATCATCGAAGATTGCTGGCCTGATGCGGATTACAGGCTCGCCCTTGAAAAAGTCGAAGTGTTTGGCGGTCACGACGGTCGGCAGGAGGTCGCCCTTCTCGACTTCGCCAGATTGGTCCAATGCCTCGATCTCCACGCGGCTCATCATGAAAGCCAAGGTCTTCGACCCCGCGCTCTTCCCGACGCGGGTCTTGCCAAGCCACGCAACGCCGAAACCCCTGAGGGTGGGCGCCAAGGTGGGCCTGATGACCTCGTTGAGAAACCAAGGGTCGAAGTCTCGGAGCGTCAAGGCCCATATCGTGAGGCCCTTAGCATTCGCCCTGCCCCTGGCATAGTTGTTCAAAGCCCTTTCGATTCGGCTTTCCTCCCAGCCGGAGATCGGACTCTCTGGGCGGGCGCTCTCCCGATCTGCGAACTCCATGAATTGGTTGGCATTGTTGCTCCGCGGCCCCTTCTCTCGAATGAACTTGTACCCTGCGGCCTTGAGTTCCCGCTCGGCCGTCTTCCTGGGCGGCCCCTTGCCAGGCTTCGCGACAACGGTGTGGTACCGCAGCTGGAAGCCCTCCAACTTTTCGAGCGTGTACTGGACTGCCAGGCGGCCAATCCTATACTGGTTGCCATAGCGCCATATTAAGCAAGTGCCACGACACATCTGCATGCACGTGTCTGTCCTAGTCTTCGCCGACAGGAGGCTCACGTCCTTGAGGATGTCGTGCTTGCCGTCGGGCTTCTTGATGATGAACAGCTGCGTGGAGTACTGACCAGCGGGCTCCCTCTTCAGAGAGAATGGTTCTGGCATGCTCTTGTAGTCGCAGGTTTTGGCGAGGTCGTGAAGCGTCTGCCAAGGGATGTCGCCGCCGAAGTCCCCCACGTAGTCCGCGAAGTATTCAATCATCCCCCCGCGCTCCGTCGCGAACTCCGCTGGCAGATCGGCGATGTTGCACTGGCCTGCTGTGTCGATCTTGTCGACCTTGATGAGCGGGTGGTCGCTCGCCTCCATGTTCTCCGCATGCTGCAAGGCCTCCCCAAACGTGAGCCCAGGGGCGTAATCGGGAACGCCAAGCGACTCCCCCAAGCTCGCTGCAAGCACAACCGCAGGGTTGATTGCTGCCATGGCGACGCAGCAGGAAGCTGAGGGGGGCAGACGGACTCTTCGAGCGCAGAGGCTTGAGAGGCAACTGGCTGTGGCTATCGCAAATCTTCATCCTCCCCAGCAGGGGGGCATCCTTTTTTTGAGGATGCCCTTCGGGGCAAACGTAGTAAGCCATTTGCTGGGTCACATCGTCTGGCACGCGACAGAGAGAAGCAAGTCATAGCATTGCCAATCGTAGCATCGCGCAAATAGCGTAGCAGAGCCAAGCGTAGCATAGCATTGCGTTGCGTTGCGCTGCACAACATTTCATAGTACGGCATAGCTTTCTTTTCCTGGGTCCCTCCCCTGCTCCTCCTCCTTCTCCTTTTCCTGCTCCTCTTCCTCCTTTTGTTCCCCCTCCTCCCCCTCCGCCT